TCAGGACGTATAATCTAATCTCACAGATGTCATGAAGTCCAAGGTCATCTTTCTCTTTGTGACACTTGACTTGTTAACGATTACTGACGGTAAATTAATATTCTGTTGGCATACAGTACGATATTTGTGTGTAGTTCGATTAGTTATAGAAAAGCAAAAAAAAAGTCACTCAGCGTCTAAATATGTAAGATTCCCCGTTATTAATATAGATAAAGTGCTTTAGGACGATTTACAGATGCTTCATGTTAACCCTTGGCAAATAAAAAGCGTGTCATCCAATAAAACAGAAAATAAATCTCTTCAATTCGTAGATCAAGTCGCTTGCATGATTGCGGGAGAACTTAATGGCATCTGTGATAGATGGCCTAATCTGCCGCATGCTTCAACGACATGCCATGTGATGTATATACTATAAATTCGACATGCGGGGTGTGCTCGGTGAGAATGTGGCAAAAGGCGACATGTTTATGGCATGCTTGATGAGGTTCCTGTGTCTGGTTCCTGGCAAGAGGTGAGGCGTAGGGTGGGACGTGAGGCGCATGAGGCTCGAAGTCGGCGAGGTGGCGTCTCCTCAGCCGAAGCCACAACTGCTCCGAAACAGATAATGAAGATAAAGATCACACGAGCACCTTGTGTTAGATGCCTTTGTCTGCCTGTAATGTTGGAGGTTTATCCTGTGTATACGTATGCTCTCTCTCTCTCTCTCTCTCTCTCTCTCTCTCTCTCTCTCTCTCTCTCTCTCTCTCTCTCTCTCTCTCTCTCTCTCTCTCTCTCTCTCTCTCTATCTATCTCTCTATCTATCTATCTATTACTCTCTCTCGTCTATCTATCTATCTCAGTCTGTGTATTTCTTTCTGTCTTTGATTGCAGTCATCTCTCCTCTAACTCTTCGTCAAGGTCATCAAACACAATTAGAAGTTTGTTTTTAAGGTGGGTCCCTTTACGCTTGGTTGGACCTTAAAAGGCGTAGCAGATGTGTAAGTGTGTTTCTCTGGGTGTTAGAGAGCAGCGGGGGGCGGGGGGGAGGCTGTATCACGTCTTCAGGAGATAAAATTTCAGCTTCGATTAAAGTAGGTCGACTTGAGACTCATATCGACTTTACAAGAGACTTAATGTTTTAATGAGTAATCTAAAGTATTTATGCATTTTATCATTTTTCATAACAGTGCCTGAGGGAATAGATAAAGACTAGATAAACATTGACTAAAGTGTGCAAGTTGTTATTGAAAGAGAAAATTAAATACAGCGAGGGTTATGACACATAGGGAAAGGTTATCCGGAGATACGTGCAGTGTGCTACGCAGATATAAATTAGACAAGAGAGAAAAGATACAGCGATTTGACCTTTGACCTGAACTGCATCTGGACGTTAAGGACTCCGCGATATGAGACAACACGAGACTGTTCAAAGACCGATCTGCGTGCAAACGTATCGAACTACGACTTCAAACACGCCGAGGTTTGATAACGTTTGTTTGAATATGTGGACGTCCGAAAGCGTTTGTAGGTTTATCTTGCGTGCAAAAAGGCGAAATTTGCAAGAGTTGAGGCTCGCCATCATAAGGAAAGCAGGGCAATTTGTAGATATTAACGATAATGATAATAAATGAATAGATAGATACGACTAAAGAAAAAGAAAAATGAAATAAAGAGTCAAATCGTAACTAGAGAGCATTATGGAAGTAAAAAAAAAGAGAAAGAGAGGCCCCCCATACAGAAGAGTCCAGGTGCAAAAGTGTGAGAACCCGAGTACGAAGAGAGTAAAGGTTGAAATTATGGGGCACCTTATATAGGGGGACACGAAGGCGTAACCAAAGTGCATAAGGGGCGTTGCAGAAACCTATAGTTCCGGGTGGGAGTGAGAGGGGAGCCCCATGCGTGTGGAAGGACCGAAGCCGTACCCAGGTGCGGTGACGGTCACACTGGGAATCCGAGCGTAAGAAAGGTGGACGGAGGGACCAGGTCTTGTCGTTAAACCAATTCCACACTTGTACAGGCAATCAAGCGCTCAGTTCAGAGGGCCTGGGAGAAAGTATGGGCTTAAGGCAAATGCATGTCTATCTAGAGTAGTGTTATACTTATCTATTAATCTGTATCTAGAGACATACATAATATACAGAGAGAGGGTGTGAGCGTTTGTGTGTGTATTCAAATATGTATGTACATACTTTATTTAGCTGTATTTCTTTGTTACATATGTGAATAAACATAGCATATATACATACATACATACATATATATATATATATATATATATATATATATATATATATATATATATATATATAGAGAAAAGGAGAAGAGAAAACAGAGATATAGACACTGAGACACAGAGAGAGAGAGAGAGAGAGAGAGAGAGAGAGAGAGAGAGAGAGAGAGAGAGAGAGAGAGAGAGAGAGAGAGAAACAGACAGAGAGCACAGACAAACAAAGAAGACAAAGGGAGAAAGTTGGTTTCGCTTTAAATTCCCTTTCTAGATTTAAAGGCGACAAATAACGACTTTGCTCCGTAAGAACAAACATGTAAAAGAACGCTTATCCTAACCTCCGGGACCAAGATGTGCTGCTTGAACTTTCTTTCTCAAAAAAATGAAAACGAAAATGGTCTATTTGTGTTCTTGCTTTTTCATCTAAACACGAGATGTCTTTCCGTCCCTTCTTTTCTCTATTTCTTTATTCTCTTTCTTTCTTTCTTTCTAAAGTATATGAAAAGAATATATGTTTACTGTTTCCCTTCGGCGAGAGAGAGAAACAAAATGCGTGTGTCCTCTTTCTCTTGCATTCCATTTCTTCCTCTACATTTGTTTTTATCTTTTTCTTTACTTCCTATTTGTAGCAAAACACACGCACACACACACACACACACAGCACACACACAGAAGTAGAGAGAGAGAGAGAGAGAGAGAGAGAGAGAGAGAGAGAGAGAGAGAGAGAGAGAGAGAGAGAGAGAGAGAGAGAGAGAGAGAGAGAGAGAGAGAGAGAGAGAGAGAGAGAGAGAGAGAGAGAGAGAGAGAGAGAGAGAGAGAGAGAGACGTAAACACACCATTCTGACTTTACACATGAGTGCATTTCTTGTAGTGTTGCCAATCTTTGCTACCGCTCTTCCACCCTTTTTTACAAACAAGAAGTTAAATAATGAGACACAGTCACTCGCGGAAGAAGAAAAAAAGGGAAAAGGGCATATCCCCGTCTTATTCTTTAGATAAACTCCCCTCTCGCCCCCCCCCCTTCGATCGACCCTTCCCCCTCTCTTCCCCTCCCCCCTACCCGCCGTGTACAAGCCAATTAGTCCTTCTCCCTCTTCCTGCTTTCATCGCCCTCTGCGCGTATTTATCGACTCTATGGCTGTCACCCTATTTCCGTCTCTCCTTTCCCGTCCGCTGTTGCCTTCTCTTGGACTGTCTCCCCTTTCCCTCCCTCTTTGTCTTTTTTTCTTGGAGTCTGAAAACGATCGCTGTCTGCTACTTTGATCTTTTTTAAGATACTTCTCTTCGTTATCTTCTTCTTTTGAGCACTGTTCGCGCAAAATATGTCTTCGTTATAGATCTCAGTCCATTTGTACCGTCTCCTACCCTCTTCACGTTCCCCTTTCGCACCTCTTTACCCTCGCGAAATTTCCCCTCTCCCCTCCCCCTTCCCTTCACCCCCTTTCGTACGCCTCGCTCTCTCCCTTCCTTCCTCCCCGCCCTTCCTTCGTCGTCCCATTTTCTGTCTCGACAACTCTCTCGGTCCTCCCCTTCCTTCTCTCGCCTGCTTCCCCTTTCTGCCCTGTCCCTTCCCCTCTCCCCCTCCCCGTCACGTCCCCACACCTCGGTCACAGATCTGGTCGATAATTTAACGCAAGGCTCCTCCACGCTCGCCCCAAGAGACCGCATCCGATAACCAGTGGGCGTGAGGGCGAGGAGGCGGGTTCATCATTAGCAAGGTAATTAGTCTCAAATTGGGGTGAGAGGGGAGAGAGGTTCATTGCTTCCCGTGGCGAGCAGTCAGTCACCAGATGGTTGGCTGTGCTTTCAGAGGCTTATCCGTTTTCTGTGTGGTACACGGGAGGGCATGCGAGGGATCAGGACAAACTAGCATAGATGCGTGTGGCCACCGTGCGTGTATCGTCGAGATACGAGAAGGCTCCCTGGGGTGGGACACTTGTCCGACTCTTCCTGGAAGCTTGAAAAATAACGTTAAAAGCTTGTAAAATAATGGACTTCCTAGGCCAGTGCGCCCTTCTGAGGTATTCATTGTTGACGTGTTTCTCGAGGCGTGATCACGGTCTCCTGCAAGAGGTGTTGGTCCCTTTAATTCCACGCAGGGAGGACGGGCGGCGCGAGACGGTGTTGTGGTCAGGGCAGGTTTGGTTCCTCGCACGCCCGGAGAGGGAGGGCGGGGGGGAGAGGGAGGGTGGTCTTGATGAGCCTAGCAGGGGCGGGGGTGCCACAGCAGGGGCCTGTCCTCGTCCACTACTGTGCCTCCGTCTGCCCATCCCGAGGAGAGGGGCAGGGTGAGGTTCAGAGGGGAAGAGGAGAGTGCGAGAAGGGGAAGAGGAATAGGAAGAAGTACCATGAGGGGACGGATGTGTGAGGGGAAGTACACCAGGAACGGAAGTGTGGTGTGGGAGGAATAGGAAAAGAGGTATACTCAGTGTGTAAGCTGGCTATGAGAGCAAGTGTCGAGGTGTCAGTAGGCAGTGAAGGCAGATAGCAACTGCCTGTCAAGGTACATGGCGGCTACAGGTGTGTTCTGTCAATCACTCAGACCGGCACACCGCCTTAATTACCGCATGTAATAATTTGTGTGTTAGTGCCGGACCGGGCGGCCGCCAGGGTCGCAGGGCAGGGTGGGAGGAGCTTAAGGCATCACGTGACCAGTTTCCACCACTAATGGCGCGCGAGAGCAGAGGCGGTGCAAGAGGAGGCGGGGCTACTCTCTGTGGGCGGCGCCAAGCGTAGCCCCGCCTCCCCTGGCTGAGAGCGCGGTGTCTGGCCAGGCCACCAGATAGTGTTTGAGCTCGCCGCGGCCTCAACACACGCTGGTTGTTTTTTGCCGCGGCTACTGGTCCCGTGCCGAGCGTGGTGGTGCACATGCGGCGGCCGTGCTAGTGCACGCCAGCTAATGTGTGTGTGTTGTTCTCTTTTTCCGATCGTGTGTGACTGTGCGGCGGCACCGTGGCGACTGTGGACTCACTACCGTGGCGGCACCACCATGCAGTGGGCAGCAGCGAGGGAGGAGGACTAGACAGGATGAACGGAGCTTTGTATGAGGACTCGGCCGGCACACGAGGCCTGGAGCCTACGGGCCAAACACCACTACACATCCCGGCCAAGCGCGTGGCCACCACCCTGGCTGTGTCCACGTACCCGCACCCGCCCGAGTGCCCCACGGGGCCTGACTCTGGCACCGCGGCGGGTGTCATCAGGCACTCGCACTCCACACAGCCCTGGAACTACCAACCGGAGCATGCAGCAGCCACGGCGCCCTTCGACTCCCAGTACGGCCAGGCCTTCGGGCGGGACGGGGTCACGCCCACGTACTATAACATTGCGGACACCAGAGTGGCTGACCGCAAGACTCTGGCCTTCTGGCCCAACAAATACGACTACGCACCGGGGCCATCCTCGATGACCACGGAGTCATGCCAAGCCTTTGCCGCTCAGACCTGGTGCAACTACCCTCCCTACGGGCGTGTGGGCCATGTCGATGCCCACGGCCAGCCCGTGCCATACCTAACGGCGGCAGATGGTGCCCCAAAATCTGCCATGGAAGCTGCCGCAGGATATCCCCACGACGGCTACCTGAGGAACTACCCCACAGCAGAGACTATGCCCCCCGCACCTTACCCTCCAGGTACGTACCTTCTTCACCTGACCACATGTACCCTAGTGCAGGAGTGTCATATCCTCCCCAGGTAAAACCCGAACTCGTATCGCGAGCGGCAGCTGGGTGGTGGTGGTGGAGGAGGCGGTCGTGAGCACCTCGTAAACCCCATCCTCAGCCTGTGTCTGCCTCGACCCCCGTAAAGCACCCGCCACAACACTCTGCCTTGATCTCCCTCCCTGTCCCTCGCGATCACTCGACCCGGCCCCGAGTGCCCCGTCATAACAGTGTCCCTCCAGGTCCCCCAGGTCTGCCTAGGTGACCTGGTCAGCCCCCTTGCATAACGGATCCCCGCGAGAGTCGACACCTTCCACTCGCGAGGCTACCTGGCACGCTCGTTAGGCAAGTCACTCCTTACGTCCAGCCCGTTTCTCCAGATACGTCAGATTCCTGTACTGGATCCCACGCTCTTGCTCCCTGTCACTTGCTCTCGCTGTCAGTCTGCTCTCGAGTCACTCTCCCCCTCCTCATTCTTACCTCGTCCTGTTCATTTTCTTGTGCATAGACGCATGTCAGTGTATTTTTTCCCTTGTTTTCTTGGATAATTTATTCGACAGCCTTTTTAAAAAGATTAACCACTAAGTGACGTGTCCAATCTTTTCTACCATCAGCCATTTACTAAGCTGCTCTAGTGATAACTTCACCTCTTTTTACATGCTTGTTGTGTCAGTCTCCCAGCCCCTTATTTTCTCCCAAAGATAGGTCTGACCCAACCAGCTGACCATACTAGGTGATCATGACATTTCACACTGGAGGATGTTACCTGCCTGTCATCTCACCTTGTGTAGACTTTTTTTCCTATGCTACCACCTCATTTTCTTCTACCACTGGCACTGACCCACACTACCGATGTTGCATACTTAGTGTCCCCAAATCACTTAATGCTTTGCTAATTAGGACGCTCATTAGTTTCCATCTTTGTTGCATATTCTCCTTCATTTCTCATTCTTAATCTATTCATTTCATCCCTTAATATCGATTTCATGAGATTCATCTTTTTCTTTTAATCATGCATGGTCAATGAAACTTGCCAACCAGTCACTAGACCCACAATACCTTCAGTCAACCACAACTGTTAGCAACCAGGTGATAATATCTAGTCATTTCTCTCATGCACTAGTTCTAATGACCTACCATTACGAAAAAGACTTACAACTGGGGAATGTTTGGATTTTTTTCATGGGTACTCTGCGTTTGTTTACATTTGCTGAGTCATGTTATACGCTGTCACTGTCATCACCTTGAACCTGCCAACAGTCTTCCGTAATACTCAAGCCTGCCAGTCTGTCTGTTCAAAAGTTATGATATTAATGTCCTGGTGTTCATCTTTTTGTTATTCATTTTTGTTCTTGATTCATTCTCTGTTACTTATTCATTCTTGGCTGTTACTGCTTCACTAATCACATGTTTCATAAATTATCCCGTAGATTATTTACCATTGATACGCACGGTCTGTACAGCCCTATGGTGATTTTGTGGTCACGTGTATCCTACACATTAGTGAACTTATTTCTTAGCCCCTTAGTAGCTCCTACACTAACTTTCCTAACGTTCTATACAGAGTTAACTTTGACATTAAAGCCCACTAATCGGGTTCCTAATGCATTAAACATCCTTCTATTAAACATCCTCC